CCCAGGGAAAGCAAATATAAATCCTTCTCTAGAGAGAGAAAGACAAAATTAGAAGCAGGCAATTAGCCTTAGCCTTGAGATTCCAGATAATGTTATCTTGTACCATAATTCTCAGGGCTGGTATCTGTGGGGTTGGTTCTTGTCCATTGTGAAACCTTTTGGTTCCTATGGCATCTGACACAGTTAGATACTGCCGTCTTTGTGTAGAATTGGAAACTAGTTCAAAATATACATTCACCGTCTACTTTATTAGGAATACCTGCACATTCATGCAGTTAACTAATCAGTCAATCATGTAGCAGCAGCACAATGTGTAAAATAATGCAGACAAAGGTCAAGAGCTTCAGTTAATGCTTAAACAGCAATAATCAAACAACAGAATGGGGAAAATGTGATCTCAGGGACTTTAACCATGGCATGGTTTTCGGTGCCAGATGGTTTGAGTATTTCCAAGACTGCTGATCTTCTGGGATTTTCACACACAACAGTCTCTCAAGAGTGTACATAGAATGGTGCAAAAAAACAAAAAACATCCTGTGTGCGGAGGCTCTGTAGGCTGAAACGCCTTGTTGATGAGAGCGATCAGAGGAGAATGAACAGACTGGACTGACCTGACAAATAGTTTATAGTAACTCAAATAAACACTCTTTACAACCGTGGTGAGCAGAAGAGCATCTCAGAATGCACAACACATCAAACCTTGAGGTGGATGGGCTACAACAGCAGAAGATCATATCAGGTCCCACTTCTGTCAGCCAAGAACAAGAATCTGGGGCTATCGAGGGCACAGACTCACCGAAACTGGACAGCTGCAGACTGGAAAAAGACCAGGTGATTTTTTTTTTCCAGCCTTCATCTGTACAGTTTGGATGAGCCTGTGCCCATGATAGCCTCAGACTCCTGTTCTTGGCTGATACGAGTAGAACATGTTGAGATGCTTCTCTGCTCACTATGGTTGTAAAGGGTGATTATTTGAGTTACTGTATCCTTCCTGTTTGTTTGTTTTCCACAAAATTCTGTGTAAATTCTAGAGACTGTTGTGTGTAAAATTCCCAGGAGGTCAGCAGTTTATGCAATACTCATTTTTGCATTGCGCTGCTGCCACATGATGGCTGATTAGATAACTACATGAATGTGCAGGTGTACGGGTGTTCCTAATAAAGTGGATGGTGACTGTCCATCAGTATTTATGTGGGGAAAGTTCTCTTTGTTCAGAGTCAGTGTTTAAGTTGGTTTTCTCAGCCGCCCATTCAGATTATTAAAGTTCAACAAGGTCTCACCAAAATTCGTACAGAGTACTAAAAAGGCAGTCAGTATATTCATAACACTTGTATGATTCCTACATGCGATTCATACTTTTGTGTATGAAGTACGGTCCCATAGGGCATGCATATGACATGAATCAATTTTAATTCATTATGCTTCCACACAACCTCTGCTTTTTTCCTCCAGTGTAAGTGCTTTTGTATATCTTTTAGTGTTAAGTACAGATCATGTGTATTGTAGTTTATGTACGTATATAAAGTGTTTTATATTCTATTTTAGAATATCTAAAATCTAATAGATTTTCTCGATTATTTTAATCTTAGGTAGCTACCAGATATGTACCATGCCTGCTTGTTTATGGCTCTATTGTGGCTGCATTGAATTTATTAGCATATTATATTTCTAATATATTAGAAATATATTAGCATCCAGTTTCATAGAAGAAAGTTCACACTTACTTTACATGTAACACCTTCTATATGATAAATATCAGCATACTTTCTCAACCACGTGATGTATATCTGTGTAGGCTATGTACAACCTTTCACTCCATGGTTACCCAATCGGCATCCCCTGCTCAATTTGTGCCGCATGCGCTCTGTAACAAAATAATTTAACCACAGCCACATCTTTACTACGCTTTTGAATAACATCAGTATGTAATATATAATGTTTAAACATATTCACCATGGGCCACTTTCTGTGTATTTTACATATGATATTTACAATATATGGATATACAGAAGTTTAAAAAATAATTATATTTATCCTCGGCTGTAGTCAGGTTGTACAGAGGTTTTTTTATGCACCGTTTAGCCACTCATTCATCTTTACTCTTTCACAGGTTTCACTGTATTTGTAACAAGCGGACGTTTTACATAACAGGGTAAAATAAGAGAGAGTAAAATCATATACTGTAACAAATTGTTGTTATTTTTACAGTACATAAGGTACAGTAAACCACTGTTTATTGATTTTCCAATGTGATACCTTAGAAGGCAATGCATCTTGGGTGAGCATGTGACCACCGTAGAAAGGAGGGCTCCAAAAAATTTACTGTTACATCATCAGACGTCGCAATAACTTCAGTACTGGAGACTGAAATTCTGTCTTTGTAAGTAAAAACTATTTCTTTTGGAAAGCATGCTATTAGCTTGTCTGCCTAATTCAGATAAAATTGAACAGACTGAATTTCTTGTGATTTCTTTAAAGTAAATGGACAAACTTCAGTAGTTTGTAGTTTGTAATACCATAGCTACAGTCTTGTCAATGTAAAACAAGTTGCAATGATCTTAGCAACATCTGTGCATGCTTCAGTCTTCATAATGAGCTTCGGCTCTGTCACTGAAAACGCTGGGGTAGCTAAAATCTAGCTTGATTTCCAAATTCTAAAAGAAAAAATGTTGAAGCAGTGGAGCTCTTTGGTTTTTGTGGACATGTGCTTTCATGACATAATATAGTTAGCCAATGAGTAAATAACTGCATTTTTTGTTAGTTTAGTCAGTCTGTGGTTGTTTACTAACACTTCGCTGCCATTACGTCAACAGGCTTATGTTATTTAATGATTATCCTAGCTAAATATATTTTTAGTTTGCTGGTGGTTAGATAGCTGCATGAGAACTTATAGACTAAAACTGTCATTGTGTTGGGTTTGAAGATTTTAGGGATTAGAATCAGTAATGTACATTTGCAAAAAGTGTAACAATGAATTTACAATCATTCATGCCTTTATCCAGCAAACAAAGTTAAACAGGAAATGTTCATTTAGAAAATTCAGTGGTTTTAAGTTTGTATAGGGATCACAAGGATCATCAAAGATCTATCAGAACTTCCCAATTTAAATTAACAGACTCAAAATTAAGATGATTGTGATTTTGAATGTGGGCATTTGAAAGAATTAATTTGTCACTTTTTTCACTTTCACTTTTTTCATTTGTCAATTGTAGGCCATTTACAACAGGGCAGAAAATACACTGTCCTTTCAGAAAGTGTGATAAAACATTTACTGTTAAGTCCACATTTGCCTCTCATATATCAAAAGCACACAGAAAAAAAAATCAATTGAGCAGGTGCATGAAACAGTGCAGGTCTCACAAGCACTTAATGCGGATGATCTCTTCTTTAAGAATTTGACACTTTTATTTGAATCTTCGGGCAAAGCTGCTGTTGCCTGCATTAATAATCCAAACAATTATTGAAGAATTCCAAGTAATTTATGGTCTTGGACAGCCCCAGGTATTTGCTAAGTTGATTGAGCAATTGACGCTACTTGAAATTGATGACACTACTATCAAAAATGGTATCAAGGAACATGAAAAAGATGATCTTCTTAAGAATTGTAACAGGCTTTTACAACAGATCAGAACTGGAAGATCATGTTCAAAAAATGTTTGAACTATGTTGATCCACTATATAGTTAGGCTTAAATGACTCTGGAGTGCTTTGCCTAATATATACCCTTAAAAAGAATTGCTCACCTTTTTTTTGTGTGTCAGAGTCTGTCAGGAAATACCATGACAAAGTTCACTCTCATAATATCAAACCCTGATATTATGGAAGATATTTGGAATGGACATGTTATTTCATGTTGTTTGTTGAATTATTTCAGACCGAAGGATCATCATTTGGCCTTGATACTCTGATGCCATAGCTGGAGATAATTTAGGATCTCAATATCGGTGGCTTTGTGAACAATATTAGTGGCTTTGTGGAAAATTTTAGTAGAAGTACATATTGGTTTTGTGATATTGACAGAGAAATATTTCAGTCAAATCCATTTTTCCAAATCTGATTCAGTATTCAACCAGCTTAAGCACTTTCATATGTGTCAGCTGGGCTTACCCCCTTGTCTGGGTCATGATCTCTTTGAGGGTGTTGTGTCATTTGACCTAGCCATGTTATGTAATCATTTGGTAACTCAGGAAAAGTGTTTTACTTACACAGAGTTAAACAGATGCATCAATGAATTCAAGTATCTTCGTACTGATGCTAACGACAAACCTCCTGAAATCAGCCCAGGCAGTAAGAAGTTGTCTAGACATGCTGTACAAAACTGGTGTCTTTTGAGAACACTACCTCTTTTAGTTGGGGACAGAATAGAAAATCCAGCAGATAGAACAGCATGGACATTGATATTACATCTGTGACAAATTGTAGGTTGCATATGTGCACCTGTAACTACTTCAGATCAGATGGCCTATTTGATCATTAGGCCATTATCAGGTAGTTCATCTAATTCATGTGGATGTCTATTCACTGAAAGAAGTAGCACAGGATTCTACTTTAATCTGTCTTCTGGCAAGAATCTTCTTGATTATTACACATTGCCAGTGTTTAAGGTGTATGATTTATCAATGATAAATCTCCATAAGTCATTTCCTGTTTTGTAGACCCATGTCCATGATTGTAGTGAAAATAAGAGAGTCAATCTTAATAGATTTACCAAGCTTGCCTGAACAAACCCTCTCATCCATCCTGGAGAAACTTTCAGGCTTAGGAGTGGAGTACAAGCCTGACCTGAAGTTGATTAAGGAAGAGGACCTGCAGGAACACCTCCAGCCTATACAGTCTCGCAAACTACTACAGGCTTGGAACACTGAAGGTTGTTGTTGCTCTTTCGGCTGCTCCCATTAGGGGGTCATTCGTCCACATTTTTGATTTTCCACAGGTTTTTCGCCAGATGCCCTTCTTGACACAGCCGTCCAATCTGGGACCAGCACAGTAGGCTCGTTTGGTTCTCTGTGTGGGAATCAAACCCAGGCTGCAGCAATGAGAGCACTGGATCCTTAGCCGCTAGACCACCAGGGAACACTTGGAACACTGAGGGTAATGTACCTAATTGTTCAATTGTTCGCCCAAAAAAAGATCGCTGATATTTGTTGTGCAATTTATTTAAGTTGTACTTAACAGGGTATCATGTGGAATACAGTTACCATAATTTATTTTATAATTGAGACAGCATGTTGTTAATATTCATGCATTGCGTTGATGTTCTCAGAACATATAAAGTGTGCCAGAGATTCAGCATCAACAGGATGAAGTACATCGTCTACAGATATATCAAGCAGTCCATCTCTTAGGAATGCCTCTTCCACCTCCAGCACACCAAGTCCAGCCAGCATAAACAGCAGGTCCAGAATTGTAGATCTCAATACTTGGCCTGACAGATTTCAGGTCCCATGGAGTAAGTTGCACCATGGAGTAAAAATGGCTAGAAAAAAAAATAAAATGTCCTAAAAGTGTCCTAATCCTAGAGACTGCCTTACTGTTGCCAAAAAACTTTGCAAAAACTCTGAATGATGGTACCAGAATCGGGAGTGGTTACACCCTGTGAACCAGCATAAAACCTGCGTTGAACACCTCAACCGAGACAACATGCTATCACAATACCTGAGAGTTAAAGGGATCTTTAGCTCTTCACCTAAAAACAGTGCAAGAGGGCCATCAGACCAGTATGGCTGGGTCAAATGGCAGCCCAATTGTCCTCCAAGGGAAACTGAGACAAGTCTAGAAGAAAAGCAAAAGGAAATGAAAGAATTATATTCTCACAGGTCCAGTGGGGGTGGAGAGAGGTCACTTCACACAGCTCATGGAGATAACATACTACATGCAGCGTAGTATGCTGCACTCCGCACACTGCACTCTGTATTGTATGCAACATACTTGCAGATTTTGTAAATCCATTTTTTTTGCATATTCCTGTAAATATATTTCTTATTTCTTATATCTTAATATTTCTTATTTTTTAATTCATTTTTTTAAACTTAGTTATTTAAATGCACAGTCAAAAGAAGAGTAGGCAAAGTTTTCATTTCAATGCAAGTTATATACTGTATGCAACTGTGCATGTGCTAAAATTTTGAATGTTGAAATTGTAAGGTTATTATTTCAGGAGATCAGGTTTTCACATGTTTTTGTTGATACTTGTGTAAGGTAATATATATAAAATGTGTGAATAGTTGACTAATATTTGCCTTTGACTAATATCCAATGCCATTTTATTCAGAGTAAAATTGAATAAAATTAATATATATAGTAAGTTTTACAGTCGAGTTTCTCATGTGTTTTTGATGTTTTAATGAAGGTTCACTTGTGTAATGAGGATTACACTGAGTTGTTTCCAAGGTCAAGATTTCATACGTTTTATGTTAAGAATAAGTACTTTGGGAATGGTGTTCTTGTAGTTGTGTTTTATGTTTTGACACTAATGTTTAACATGTGCCACTTTATAGGCAATGTTTAGTTACGGAGAACTTTTTTTAGTTAAAAAAAATATCAGTCTGTTACAATAGTCTTTTATGCCAGTGATGGTCAAATGCAGTCCAAAAACAGACATGCAGGGTTAATCACAACTGTGTCCTACTTAGTAGGTCCTGCCTAGACCTTTGGGAAACCTTGCCTTGTGGAGTTAAGCACTTTCAAGTCCAGACTTGCAAAGCAAGATAGTGCTGTTACTGGCCATTTCACAGTAGCTTGTTTGTGCTTCACATAAATGGTTATAGAATTATTCTGACAACAGTTCTCTTAAAGAATACCTAGGAAATAAGCCACTATATTTTCACAATGGAGGAGACATGACTCTGGCCACTGTACTGATCTAAAGGAAAGAAAGAATAGATCAGTCTCACTAAGATACATGAATAAGGACCAGAAATATTACCAATCATGCCCCTGTCCTTCAATTTCTGGGCTTGGAGGAGCAACATTCAGGCCTGTGGTCAAAGAGATGTTTTTCAATTACAGATGGAGCACAGTGCATTATCTGGCCAGCACACAAACAAGCAGTGTTTATTAAGGCGAACACTGGCCAAGAGAAAACTGGAAAATACCCAGACGGTGGATATTAACACACACACACAAACACACACACACACACAAAATCTATTTTTAAGGGTCCAAGCACGAAGTGCTGAAACCCTATTGTTTTTGTAAGGATTTTTTTTTATTAGGGGTTTAAGCGTGAAGTCCTGAAACTATTGTTTTTGTAAGAATTGTTATTATTATTATTATTATTATTATTATTATTATTATTCTGCCCTGAAACCGATTACACAGACCAAACCATAAGTCCTAGGGATCTGAAACTTTGAGGGATGGTAGTACTCCATTGGTCTACAACAGCGCAAAGTCTCGCCCCGGTCGGCCAAACGGTGAATACACTACAGTGAACAAAACAAAACAAATTTACCAAAAAGATCATAACTTTTGAACCGTTCGTCACAGACTCAAGTGTCTTATATCATTGGAATACTTGGGTCAAGACAACAAAACGTATATATCACCAATTCCCACCAAAATTTTCCGCCATATGGGATTTTTTTCCAAAAGCTACTTTTGCAAGCCCTAGGCCATTTGTCTGATTGGAACCAAACCAGTGTAGAAAGATTTTCTGGAGTCCCCTTATCAATAATTATTTAAAAAATGTTGAACTTTTGATTTAACCTTGTGACAGCACATCAAAACGTTTGAAGTGGTCATGGCCACTTTCACTTAAATAACTATAACTCTTGAACGGAATGAGATATTTTCACCAAATTGACACACTTATGCATGGGCACAATCTGAGAACACATAAAAAAATACTGAGAGTGACCAGTTGGTGGTGTTATAACAGGAAAACATGAAATTGGCTCTAATTACGGAACCATTGGTCCAATCGACTTGAAATCTTGTACGAAGTGTATTTTTCCAAGGTCTCATCAGTGTTTATGAGGACATTTGTCCTCGCTGATGAACAATGCCATGGGCCAATCAATGTTCAGCAGCTATTGGACAAGGTTAATGAAGGCAGATCTTTCTTAAAATTATCTTGCATTTTCTCTGATTTAGGTGCTTATAGGCTTGCACATTATTAAGTAATATCTTTTTACGCATGTCCTTACAGGGCCTAAAGTACTTGAACCCCGATAATTGCTGCTTGCAGCTATATTCACTTTTATTTTTCTCTTCTTTAATACGTAAACAACACAACCTCGAATTAGAAATCACCACTTTCAATCAGCAGCCTTATTTTTCTTTTCTACATTTTTATGTTCATCACCTAAGACAAATACAGGTGCCATAAAACTGCTTCCAAGGTGCTTTTATATGAGAGATTTAAGGCAATATGCTATTACATTTGCTTTTACAATACTTCATAACTCCTTTGCCAATTTGGTTACCAGAGTAAAACCTGACCTGCCTCCTCTTGCTACTACAAACAAGATTCCAGCAATACCACATTGTGATTCTCCAGTCCCTGGGTTTTAAACAGCATTAAACGTTATACCTAGGACAATATATTTGCATGATTTAAATGTTCTCAGATGTTCTCCTTCTTGTACTCCTAAAGGCAAACAATTCTTTGAATTTCATTCCATGGTTCAGTGTATTTTTTTTCTTGTACTATCTGTCCAAGCACATATGCATGGAAACAGCATAGGTAATGAATAAGCTCAACTACAGTCCTACCTGCTAACACTTCCCTCTCTAACGTACATTCAGTGAACACCACAAGTAGATCATAAATCTACAAATCTAATAAATTCATTATTTATATATATATATATATATATATATATATATATATATATATATATATATATATATATATATATATATATATATCTGCGTGCCCTGAAGGTGGGCTCCTGCACCATCACAATCCCAGCAAAGCATAATGGAGCTGGGCCCACCTGCAAAAGAAAGAAGTATAGGAGCCAGACTAGGAAGGAAGGAAGGACAGAACGAAGAAAGAAAGAAAGAAAGATTTGCATTGGTGATGTAAGACCACAACTAACCACAATCAAAGCTGTTGTAAATGTTTTGGTTTGTAGTTATGTACTATGTACTAATATACCTATTGTAATTGAATAGTCATTTCAATTGGTCTCTTTGGCTGATTTTCAATCATAAACAACAACATAAAATCAAGGATTTTTTTTTCTTCAGAAAATGCACCCCTTTTACTAGATACTTACTTATTTTTATTCAAATAATCACTTAAATTACCAATTTAATCCTCCTTTAGTTATTATTTTAAATTAACAATGCTTTAAATAATTTTACTTGAGTACAGTTGAGTACAACTTTCTAGGAAGCTTTCTATCTTTTGTCTAATGTGACTGAGGAAGCAAGCTACCTATGTTTCAAAACAACTATGCCTCTCCCAAATTTTATTGTGTTTACTTTAGTTTTTTTGGTTTGTTACATTCCAGAAAGATCAGAAAAGTTAGCTGGACACATTATCAGAATCTATTATAAAACTGAGATGCACTTACAGTCCTGCTGTGAGTCAAAATGGGATCCTTTAAGCAGTATTTCATTATAATGCCTGTAAGATTTTCTGAAAACTTTTTCTTTTAATAACATTACAGAACAATAATTTAAGAATGCACCTCTGTGCACAGCATGTGGTCAGCGTGAGCTATATGGAGCGATGGCTCAATAAATGAAAGCACACTTCTTTTGTTTGTACAAAAAGTATGGTAGAAATGTGGTTTTATTTTGTAGCTCAGAAAGGAAGTCAGGCTAAAACCAAATAGTTCATCTACCATTAGTATCATGTTAATGAACTTGCTCTTTTTTTAAGTGCCGTGAGCAGGTTTGCCAGATTTCCTGTGTATGTCCAGGTACTGCAGATAAATACTCAGAAATGCACACCACTGTTAATTTGTTTCCCCTAAAAAGACAGAGAAAAAAAGAAACATATGTCTACGTTTTCAATTGCCCATGGGCAGTTTTGAGTTGCAGTTAGGGGTGGGAAATGTGCTGAAAACCTGGCAACCCTTCCCACAAGCTCCATCAAACTGTCCTTTAATGCTCAAGAT